AAACATTCAAAGCTATAAAATGTTATCAGACTTATCAGTGTTTATTTACGGTCACAACTGAATCAATATATATACATATGTAAGACTCAGATTGACGTCCAGTCTCTAATCGACCTCCATTCCTCAAGTCGACGTCCAAATCTGACGTCATAATAAAATAAGATTCCAAATCTACATGTTTGACCAATTATATACCCCTGTAATAGATGTCTTTTTTGTTGTTCTCAAATCAATGTCCCAATAGTATTGGCTTCTCTAAGTGATGTCCTTTTTACAGACTAGCCGCAATGAAATCACAGTTTTATAAAATTGCAGGTTGAACCTAGTAATATTAAAAGAGTCGTGAAAGATATAATATTTGTAATCTTGCAAATACATGTAATAATACATTTCAACAATTGGCTGTACTTCTTTATTTTTTCTATTGTTTGAGACTGTATATTGACCTCTAGATGTCTTTCAATTATCTTTGGCATTGAGTTGTTGTCTTATTGATGTATATATCCACTTGGCTTTTATTTATATGAACATGAAAGGAATATGACAACGTAGATCGAGAGGATGAACTTCTTCCACCAAAATATTAATATACATGTACATGTAAGATGATGTCGATGGTTGTCTTATTGTCATTTTCTGAAGATTGACCTTTTACTTTTAAGCTGTTACATGCCCTAGATTTAATGTCAATAGACCATGACTAAGGGGGTTGACCAACTAATCTCCATGGATGAGATGTTATAATTCTGATACATGTACAACAACACACCAAATATCATTGACTTTCCATTACTGGTTCCCCTCAAACTGAACTAATCAGATTAAGCATATAAACTAACCAAATTTTTAAAGTCAGTAGACAATGATTTTTGGAGGCAGGCCCCTTAATATGAAAGAATGAGATGTGCAATTGCAAATGCTCCTTAAACTGCATTATAGTACATACCACATATCATTGACTTCCCATAAGTGTTTTCCGTTAAACTAACCTACATGTACACAAACTGTAATTATTAATGATTGATTGGTGTTTTAAGGCCACTTTCAGCACAGTTGCTGCTGCACTATCGGCCATTTTGTAGTGGTCATATTTTATAGGCGGAGGAAGCCGGAGTGGCCGGAGAGAACGACAAACCGTCGGTAGAAAGACTGACAACCCTAGTCAATTAAGATTATACTGGAGTCAAAAATTGTAATTATAATGATTAACAAATTGTTAACGCCATTGGCTATGCCAAAAACAGGATAATATTAGTACATTTTTTTTGTACCTTAGTTTAGCTTTGGAGACTTTGTTGCAGCAAGACAAAATAAAATGGGAAAGGGTTCCTCACCTACAATTGAAGCTGTCAGTGTTAATGTGTAATGGTGACTGCCAAATAATAAGTCCATTTATTTAGTAAAAAGGGGGAATTTTTTTATTACAAATCATTTTTTTGTTAAATTATTGATCCTTATACATGTATATATAATTATGTGCAGTTTGATTTAAGGCCAATACAAATTAAGTGTGTTTCCTGTTGCATGCTCCCAAAAAAAAATTGGAAGGTCAGCGGCTTATTTCACAAAAAACCTTACGAGAAAAAATACTTGCAAGTCATAACCATTTCAGTATACATGCAACTTACGATCAATTTTTGTTGTAAGTTTTTTGTGAAAAAAAACCCTGGATTTTATTTCCGTCAACCTTTAGTCTTATCATGAAGTTCAGCAAATGTTACCAACTGCGAGGTTGTGTGAAATTTATTTAAATGGATATGCTGACTGAAATGATTCTTTTCATTAACCACCTATGGCCATCAGATCAGTGGATTACCTGTAACAAAAATAATGACACAAATTTTTGTGACCACTGATTTCTCATATATTTAACACTCTCAGACGTGTTCATTTCGCCCAAAGTTGTCCTTTAAACCACAAATCGCCCAAACATGTCCAATGGATTGGAGAGGACACGACTGAAGACGTCGGGTTTCGGTCATTTCTAAAAATGGTTCACTAAGCACAGTGAAAGATGAAATCACTGACTTAATTCTGCTCTCAAATAAATAGACACCAGATAAGAAAAAGAATATCACAATAAAAAATTATCTTCAATTGCGAGAGCTTTTATTAATTTTTCATCAATATGATTATTATTGTTATAATTTTAGATGAAGGTATTTCACACTTAAAAAATCTGATACATTTAATTTTATCTTGCAAGTTTTCACTGGACTAGTGCAAGTTTTCTCAGTGCTTCAACTATTGATTAAGTGGTCATTTATTAGCATTAGATTGTTCAAAGTCGGTTGTTTGTATTAAGCATAATTGCAAATTTAATTTGCAACACATACATTAACTCTTTACGGTTGATTGCTTAATGTCCGGTGGCAAATATTTCATGCATATTTAGAGCAAACATAAAGATTGCAATTAGTTAGTTTTGTACAGTTAAATTCATTGTTTACAAAGTAAATTCTTGTGTTCTAATATACTGCAGTGATGCCTATATATCTTAATAATGTATCAGGGTATTGCACGGACGGCTTCCTGCAAGAGTTTCTGGGCTTTTAAAGAATTACTGTTCCATACTGTTTCCAACAAAACAAAAGGAAGGTTCCTGTAATAATATCGACTGGATTTATATTTAAATAACATGTGATTAATTTACAAATCACTATTTAATAACGGTGGACACGACTGAGCGTTCATAAAAGGGAGACGTTTTGGCTTCATATGCAACGTCTGAGTGTTCATAGTTATGTTTGTGAATCTTCGGGATCGTCACAGTAGTTCAACCAATCAGCGGAATTTTAATTTTGGGAATATCTATTTTAATGCAGTTTTTTGCATACTTAAATAGGAATTATAGAAAAAATGGAATGCTGTTAGTAGATATAAAACAGGGAATAATAAACTCTTTTTACAAAAGATGGATTGGATCGGGGTTCTGCGTATTCACATTATTTGTAATAACTCTCCTTACTCTTGAGAATTATGCAGGGATTTTGCGACCCAAATGGTTCACCATAATTAATTATAGTAATAACGGAACCCCACCCTTTAAACCGCCAAAGGATTTCACGTGCATATAAAACCAATATATCTAAATCCAAAATAAATAACAATAACCCGTTTTAAATATTTAACTATATTTAACACAAGGGAAATCCTTAAAGTCAAACGAAAAGAAATATATTTATATCACGTGACTGGTCATTTTTCGCGGGTTTATTTCCTTATAAGACCATTTTCTCGCCAACTTCTAACTGGTAAAGTTCTAATAATATGTTTACTCATACTATTGTTTGCGTTTTCATATTTTCACTCTATATAGGTATATTTTTTACCACTATACATTTTTGTTGTGTTTTGCTTATGTAAACATGAGCCAATTTTCAGTACTTTCCAATGTACATCTATCGAGACGATCTTCCGAGCATTAGGGTTTGGACACAGGTTTCCATTTCAACCGAGGTAACTTGGTTGTTGGTTCTACCTGGCTGGCCATATTCGTTTATGACAGGATAACAATTTTCAACTCGTATTGGCAGTTTGAATATTTTGTGTATATATATATATTTGAGTTCGAATCCCGGCGAGGGAAGAACAAAAACTTGCTTCCGCAAATTTGCAGATTTAACATTGTTGTGCTGATATTTAGAGTAATTATGTATATACATGTATATATATTAAAAAAAACTTTGACTCGTTGAAGTATACTTATAGTAACTGAAAATCGAAAAAATAATGCAGTCATCTCTTTTATATGTTGTTGGTACATAAGTTTTTGTTTTAATGGAATATTGATAGGGTCAGCGACTTCGTTTTTGTCGAGCCTGCGACTTCTGTCGCAGAAAGCGAGACATAGGGATAGTGATCCGGTGGCGGCTTTAACAAACTACTTAAAAAACTTAATATTTCAGATGGTTGAAGACCTGGATGCTTCATACTTTGTAGATAGATGTCTTGTGTTATGAAGTTCCCGTCTGTCATATGTCCATTGTCCTTGACCTTATTTTCATGGTTTAGTGACTACTTGAAAAAAAAGTTAAGATTTTTTGTAATCTTAATTTCTCTCTTATTATGAGTAATATGATTACTATATTTGATATGTGCGTACCTTGCAAGGTTCTCGTGCCTGTCAGACAGTTTTCATTTGACCTCGACCTCCTTTCATGGATAAGTGAATAATGTTCAGTTTTCGTGGTCGTCCATATCTCTTTCAGCAATATGTCTACTTTATTTTGTGTATGAGATGATTGTAAGGTGTACATGTCCAACTGGCAGGTGTCATCTGACCTTGACCTCATTTTCATGGTTCAGCGGTTGAAGTTAAGTTTTTGTGTTTTGGTCTGTTTTTCTTTTACTGTATGCAATAGGTCAACTATATTTGGTGTAGGGAAATATTTTACGATGTACATGTCAGTCTGGCAGGTTTTATTTGACCTTGACCTCATTTTACGGTTCATTGGTCAATATAATGTTTTCATGGTTTGGTCTATTTCTTACATACTATACGCAATAGGTCAATTATATTTGGTGTATGGAATGGTTATAAGGTGTACATGTATTTTTGCAGTTTTGTCCAGTTTTTTGCTGTATCAATTACATACTACTTTTTTTATAAAATTACAAAATGATTTGAACACTTTCAATAATTTGTGCAATGACAATTTCCTTCATGATCCCATACCAAATCCCAAATCTTTCACGATTCGATCGCAATACTTGATCACCATAACTCATTCTTTCACGATAATTTTTTCTCGATAAACCGAATGAAAGCTGTGTACTTTCTATACCTGTATATGCATTTTTGTTATATATATTTCTGTTTATACATTTACAAAAATTATTTATCTATATATGTATTTTTTCAAAACATTTCTCAAACAAAATTTTCGCAATGCAATGAACATTGTTATTTAAAGGATTTTATGTTTAAAACTCCCAGCTACTTTATTATCGACTTATTTGTTTAAAAAAGTTTGAAATACAGTTATTAGATATTCACTTATTTCAGTTGAGGAGCCACCTCTGATCACAAGTCATTTCGAAGAATCCTACTACATGAAAGAAGATGATGATACACCAAAAACCTTTCAATGTAGTTCATCTGGTAACCCGGTCCCAACGTAAGTTTGTTCTTACCGTTTCGTACAGTAAGTATCAGTTGACCTACAGTCACAAATGAGTTGGACATCAGAAATTATGATAATGTAATAGATGAGGGTATATTTTATGTAATGTACAAAACTACAAAAGAAAACATATAGTTTTTATCCAATAAATGAATTTCATTTGTCTCTACTTGACTGTTCAACACTGAAGAGAAAGAAAACTCATCGACATAATGTTTTATCTTGGTTGTTGTTCATGATGGTATTTAAGTATACTACGAAAACGCTTCCCCAAAAATGTTACTTTGGGTAAAAATTGTTAACAAATAAATGGAAAAAAATTTCGTTAGAGTCTGGATCAACATAATATTAAAAACTACGTTTCATGAAAACAACTCTTAAATAAACCGTTTGTGAAGCAGGAAAACATTGTTGTCTTTCTGTCCCTTTTATATATTCATATACGAGTATATTCTCATCCAGTCTTCTCATCCAGTCTTGCAGAACATGTTGTAATTTTTTGATAGACTATGTCCCGACTGTGATATTTATAGCTAGAAGTAGGAGCCAAATTGGGGCATCATCGAACCTGTTCCTTTAGATCTAGAAATTATATTTGTTTGTCGTTTTGATTGAGCCGTTCGTCACAGTAAAAGCGTATTCTGCATCTGGCGTCTTTTAAAAGTACGAGTGAAGCCTTTTACAGTAAGGTAAATAATAGAAATAGAGAACAAAATCAGAAGTCTTCACATGATAAAACAACGCACGCAAACATTACATTGTGTATATATATTACAGATTTCAATGGAAAAAAGACGATCAAGTATTACATAAGAGCCTACAAATTTCCACGAATCGGCGCACAGGAGAACTGACAATAACCAAACCCTCAATACGTGACTTCGATACATATCAGTGTTTTGCCACAAACAAATATGGAACAGCAGTCTCTGCAGCATTTAAAATAGAAAGAGCAGGTATGTTTATTTTATATTTAAATACATTAAGAATGTTTGGTTTTTCAAATAATATATTTTTAAAACATGTCTATCGCGTTTAAATCAACAATGTTAACACCATCTGCTTACGATTAAGATTTAATGGGTGTGTTTATTTAATAACTGAATAAACTGTAAATAAACTATCTAGAAGTGCCAGAGAGTGCAAAAAGACAAAACATTTTATTTAAAGATATGTGTTCTTATGTCTAAATAAAAATAACAGCTACAAACTGCTAATTCGTTAACCTGTACTCGCCTTTATAACACGGGTGCCATTCGGTATATCGAGAAAAATTATCGTGAAAGAATAATTGACGGTGGTCAAGCATTGCGATCGGATCGTGAAAGATCTGGTATCGGATCATGAATGCAATTAAGTGTAATTCTACTTCAAAATCTGTGATAAAATCTGCTGTATTTTCAAAAGACGGAACAAAGAAGAAAAAAGAAATATGTCTGTCAAAATGATTCAACTTCCTTAATAATACTGTGCACTACGGTTAAGAAAATATGCAATAATCTTTAAGAAAACACTAAAGGCGACATACAATCCTATGCAAATCATTTGACCTCTATTTGTGAAAGGTAGTATGTCCTGTTAGAGAACAGGACATACTTTTGAAAACATCACCTTTCAAATAATAGAGGTCAACCAAAATAGGGACACTCCAAGTAGAAAACAGAGAGAGAGAGAGAGAGAGAGAGAGAGAGAGAGAGAGAGAGAGAGAGAGAGAGAGAGAGATTTTGGATGCATCAGCTACGTACTCTTGAACTAATGTACTGAATGAGAGAGATGAAAAACAGTTTTAACAAAAACCAAAGGAATAAATCTTGAACTTCATACTATTTATCTAACACATTTATTTGTGTTGATCTATTAAATGTACAATAAGCTGCAAAAATATATTTAAATGACATGTACGATAAGCTGCAAAATTTTCTTAATTTCTAAAGATTTGCGCAACATAACTAAAGAGATTCATTTGTTGAAAGCCTACAAATAAAGATAATACATAGTAGCTTTTAATAATATTTCAACCATGTTCTATCAAAGATTAAAGCTCGTGGATTCCTTAACTAATGAGGCAACAATTTCAAGAAAAAAGCCAATATTTTATGTTATACTAATCAATTTCTAATTACAAAACTAAACCACAAGAAAAGCATTGTTTCACTTTCGTTGATTTTCCTGAACAACCACTTGTACCTTCTTTTTTTTTTAGTAATTTCAAGTTTTAGTGACACAGTTGAAAGGACATTACCAAATGCTTACCAGTATAGGAACTTGTCTATACCATGTACGGGTAAACCAAGATGTAAACCTGATAACGTGTGTAGGGTTGAATGGAAGTTAGGGAAAGGGACCAGTAATACTATATATGAAACCAAACGAATAGCTATTGATAAAGATGGTAAGTTCTTTTTAGCCATCAGTACAAAAAACTAAATTAAATTTTTATTTTGATCTCCTGATATACTTTTTAGATTCACATTCATTTATTGATTTATTCATGATAGTATAATACCGTTAATTTTATAACTTTTTGAACGACGATTCTGATGTGAAAATTATTTCTCGACACATATTTTTTATTTTCTATCAAATGAAAGCAGTTTAGCAAAGTGGTTCAGCATCAAATTTCGTTACATTTAAGTTAAGGAAGTTAACTGTGAAGTAAAGAAAAATTATGAATCAGAGGCAATAGTAATTTAGCGATGTTTAAATCTCATAAATTCATTGAAAAGATTAAAATTAATGTTAAAAACAAAAACTGAAGGAATCACATGAAATCCAAAAGGACCGCGACCGGATGCGTCGGCAAGATAATCATTTCCAATTGTGCATGCATCACCCGTCATGCAAATCTACACTCAGTCAAAATATCGAAATCGGTAATAGTAAACATTGGTAAATTTACTATTCATTAACTACTGTGGTATTAAAAGATCTTCTTACACCGAGAAAAACATGTCGGTGGTCAGTTGGAAAACTGATACATCACGCGTATCAGTCAACCAATAAATGATGGTGACCAGAGCGGCTATCACATTAGAAACATTAAAAACTGAGAATGCAAAAAATAGACGAGACAGCAAATACATATAGACAGTGAAATGTCACAGACAACATATTAAATTAAGTAGGGTTTGAGCAAAGAAATAAAGAAGAATGAGTCTCCGTGATTGTGATGTATGCCCTTATTTTACAGTTATACATTTTTTGGCTTGTGAGAGATCTGTCTACCTTCAGTTTTGAACTCTGCAGAATAGTTGTCTCAGTGGTAACCATACCCCATCTTCTTATTTTATATTTATTGCAAGGTTTATTGCTCGTGCTGTGTAGATGCAATAGAATGTGTCTCTGTGCTTGTGGTGTATGCCCTTATATTTTACAGTTATCGTATTTTTTTGCTTGTGTACCGTTAGTTTTGACCTCTGGTGGATTGTTGTCTCTTTGGCGATCATACCACACCTCCTTATTTGTATATTTATTGGAGGGTTTGTTACTCGTGCTGTGTCGATTCAGTACAATGTGTCTTTGTGCTTGTGGTGTATGCCCTTATATTTTACAGTTATCGGGTTTTTATTGCTTGTGAGAGATCTATGTACTATTAGTTTTGACCTCTGGTAGATAGTTGTTTCATTAAGCAATCATACCACATCTCCTTATTTTTATCTCACCTGGCCTAAAGCCCGAATGAGCTTTCCTCATCACTTATAACAGAACATGGGTGTACAATGCAACGCTATAGATATAGAGAAAATCTGACACGAGATAAATGTTCAGAATGTTGAGATCTACATTCTACCATCAGAACTGTCAGCCGATTTCTTATGGGAGTTATTGCTTTTAAAATGCAAATTTTACCATTTAATGCAATTTAGCCTTTTATCTTAAAATTATAATAGAGAGAAACTTTTAAAAAGCAAAAAATATCAGCAAGACAAGATCTACAAATACTTCTATATTGTTGAAATCGTTGGTTGACTTTTTGTAGGAGTTAATGCCCTTAAATGACAAGTTATCCAATTGTATGTGTTTTTCCTATTATGTTGAAAACTATAATAGATAGATGGAAACTTTAAATAGCAAAAATGATAAGCAAGACAAGATCTACAAATAAGTCAGCATGGCCCACATCGTCAGTCAACTTGATAGGAGTTATTTACCTTAAATAATGATATTTTACCATCTTTTTGCCTATTATCTTGAAACTATAATAGATAGATAGAAACGTTAAAAAGCAAAAATGATTAACAGGAAAGATCTACAAATACGTAAACATGACTGAGATTGACAGTTAACTCTTAATGGTTATTTCCCTTTAATTATGATTTAAAGTCAACAGTCGCAATAGAGGTTTCCTGATTTGCTACGTATCAGGTACGGTTGGTACTTAACTCAACCGTTAGTTTTGTTTTGGAGGTATCATTTAATGATTGGGATTAATTTATTCATCATGATAAAATTAAAGAAATCGAATTGCATATTAGCAAAATATAGCATCATTTTTTATTTGATAGCGATTTCACCGTTTCTAGAACACTTTGTTTGTGATTCTATATAACATTATTTATTTAGGGCACACGTGCATGAATCAAACAGACCTTACACGATCTGAAATGAGACGGCCTTTAAATTCTAAATATAGATTTGTTTCTGTGTTTAAAGTATTGTTTTTGTTTTGTTAATATATAAAGAAAAAAGTTAGAAGAATATTTTCTTATATTACGGATTACTAATGTGTCGAGTTTTGTGATTGGATAACAACACAGAAATGTCGGTATATATTCAGGAAACTGCCGGGGTATATACGACGTTTTTTTTACCCCAATTGGAACCTCAAAAACTTTATTGAAAAAATATTCTTAAACAAACTTATTAGTAAGGGTTATCGTATTAATGTTGTAATTAGATCTCTGAATATAGTTTACATTGGCACTAATATCGATTTTGTCATTAGCAAATTAAAACATAACTAAATTTGTATTTTCTTTTCAAACGGGATGTATAGAGACACACACACGTTCATTTTTATCTATAAAGAAGTCACTCCTAACTATCCTACTACCTGTCGATACATTTATTTTTGGCATTGCACAAGTCATGTGTTCTTTGACTGTTCATGACGTTAAAATACTAAATCCCTGGGATGTGTTTTAGTTGATTTCAGTCTCTGATGCATGATGTTTTATTATTAATTGTTTTGGCTTTTAACTAGCTGTCAGTAACTGCGAGTACTCTCAAATCGTACTTTCTTTTTAATTTGACCTGTTAATACTATTTGTAATGCTTTTTTTGTTATTTAATGTTAACATGGATCTTGTCTATATACCAGGTTTGATTATTTGGTATTACTACAAATTTTTACTTCTTCGTACTATGAACATCAAAACTATTTTATTTCTCCTTAAATTCTTGCACCTGTACAGGAAGTTTTATCTAGCACTTATTGTATAGTTTTATTGTTGATATTCACCCCATATGTACCAAGTGTTAAATTAGTTTTATTGATATTAAAGAAATTTCTTGGTATTCCTAAACGGAAGATTTTATACACACAGAAGAAGAAGTATACTTAACAACAAAATTATTTTCATTTACCTGTGTATAATATGACGCAGGTTTTTTCAAAAGTGATGGTTTTCTTAATATTGTTTAACATTTCACAGTGGTATCGTTTACACCTGTTTATTTACTTTTGACCTCAATTATTTATCCCTTATAATTTTTATTAACTATGTATTTGCATTCAGGTATCACAGATCAAATTTATTCGTTCATTGTGTGTTAATTTACGTTTTTTTATTGAGTTAAGCCTTCCAATTGATATTTTATAGTGTGTCTTTCTATGTTGTGATGTTATACTATTGTTTCAGAAAAGGGAGAAGGTTTGGTACCATTAAAACGTTTAATCCCGCTGCAAATGTTTGCACCTGTCCTAAGTCAGGAATCTGATGTACAGTAGTTGTCGTCTGTTTATGTAGTTCATACGTGTTTCTCGTTTCTCGTTTTTATATAGATTAGACCGTTGGTTTTCCCGTTTGAATGGTTTTACACTAGTAATTTTTGGGGCCCTTTATAGCTTGCTGTTCGATGTGAGCCAATGCTCCGTGTTGAAGGCCGTACCTTGACCTATAATGGTTTACTTTTATAAATTGTTACTTGGATGGAGAGTTGTCTCATTGGCACTCATACCACATCTTCCTATATCTATTAAAGAAGAAAAAATATTTGTCAAGATGAAAAACTTGCATTTTTAGAATTACTCAAAGTATTAAGGAACAATAAACATATACTAAATATATATACAGCATGGGAAATGTTTAACAAATACCTGGTACTGGAAAAAATATTAAGGCAGGGGTAATCCGTAATATATGTGTAATCCAGGTTTTAGACAGGGTATATAATGTGACATTCCCGGCTTAGGGTTTATATCCCTTCGCTTTTCGGCTCAGGGAATATAAACTCTAAGCCGGGAATGTCACATTCGGCGAAGGGGATATAAACCCTAAGCCGAGAATGTCACATTATATACCCTGTCTGAGACCTGAATAACATATAATGTATAAACAGAATAATTAAGATACAATCTATGAACGACTTACTTAAAAACGTGTTACTGATGTTGGTTATATACGTTAACATGTCAAAATTGTGTTGAAGATTTTTTTCTTGAAAAGATAAGAGAGCTGGGATTTTATATTGAGTGGGGGTGTTTTTTAATCAACAACTGAAGATTTTTTTTCTAGAAATGCATTCTAAAAAAGTAAACTGAAAATATTGAAAAATAAATATTTACGACTCTATTGCCGATGAGAAAAAACCACCAATGTCTAGAAATGTTGAAATAAAAAAACGAACAATTGTCATATAATTATTGTAAATTGCACTAACACTCTTCTTGAAAAAGTTTACGAGCGTATCTTATAATTTAACCCTTTCTTCGTACTTTTATTATTGGTAAAATCTCTCATATATGTTTTTCATTGGATGTTGGATGTGTAGTGATTGATACTTTAGTCTTAGATACATGATTTTTTATTAGTTGTTATTGGCTTTGAACTAGCTGTAAAAAAACTGCGAGTACTCTCAGATCTGTACTTAGTGTCTGTTTTGTTGTAGGGATGTAAAAATATCCTGCCACGTCCGTGTTTTTGTTACTTGTTTTTCTGCTTTGTATCGATCTGATGAGTTAAGCCCTTTTCAACTGATTTTTATAGTTTGTTCATATGTTGTACTGTTACACCACTGTCACAGGTTAGGGGGCGCCCGCTAACATGTTTAACCCCGACACATTCTGTATGTGCCTGTCCCAAGTCTGGAGCATGTAATTCAATGGTTGTCGTTTGTTGCTGTATATCAAATTTGTTTTTCGTTCAGTGTTTTTTACATAAATCAGGCCGT